ACCTCACCTCACCTCACCTCACCTCACCTCACCTCACCTCACCTCACTCCCTCACGCACTTTCTCACGCCCTCTCACACACTCAGTCAGTCAGCCAGGCAAGCAGGCAGTCAGTCAGTGACTAGTTGGTGAGGTATCAAGGCAGTGAGGGAGTGAGTGAGTGACTGAGTCAGGCAGTCAGTCAGTCATATAATTGTTCACTTCCGCACTCCTCGTCTGCATGCATTCATTTCGTCTTCCTCTTCTTTCTTCCCCTTCTTTCGGCTCATCGGTTCTAATAAATACAAAACATAGACTTCACATGTGGGTTATCCGGTCCTTGAGCTTTTGGTTCGTTCCCTGGTCCCTGTAGTCCAACAAATGATAGGTAGCCTTTTGGCTGCCCTCCTTGCAGCTGCTCCCCAGCTGAGCGGCGCGACATTGAAGGCTCTGATGTCCAGATGTTGCAGACGATTGATGTCGTATTCTTTGGATTTCTTTGGCATTGTTGTATTCTATGGTTTTGAAGGCCAAGATCTCGTCTGATGCACATTTAGCTGCAGGCGAAGGGCATGTCAAAGGCTCAAGTGTCACACAGCGGTCAAGTTGCTGGGTGTGATGTCGAATGAGCCTCATTGTCCTGCATCCCATAAGGAAGTGTTCGCAAGAAGTGCAGACACTGTACAGGCGCACGTCCAATAGAGTCAGGAGCCAGAAGAAAGGGTCCAGATTGAGGTCCTTGAATTGAGCGATATGCCTAAAAGTCATGCTCTTAGGGTGGAGGCCCTCACAATTAGGTTGGAGGCCATCGCTAGTAGGTTGGAGGCCATCGCAATTAGGTTGGAGGCCATTGCTATTAGGTTAAGAATCTTAATCAAAAGCCTTGGCTCAGCAGGTTGGCGATGCCACCGTGGCAGAGAACGTGGAATTCCTCACGAAAACGCTCGCCAGGCCTCAGGGCTGCTAGCACCGTTGCCGGGGTGCGGAAGTGTCAGGAGTGTCTCGGGTACCGTCGCCGTGGCAGGTTTCAGAGCTTCGCAAGCAGCGCACAGCTCAGCATTCAAATGCGACATCGAAAGGAAGAGCAAAGATTGAAGGACTGGGCTAAGTTAAGATCATTAGGCGGTGAAGTTGGACAGATCTTTTTCAGCTGAGTGAACATGAACATCAGGAAGTACTACAATACTAAACAGTTTGGGTAGTCTAATAGGAAGGCGTGCGCCGCAAGAAGCACCGAACAGTCATTGTACAATCCACACGTGTCTCGACTCCGTTTGAAGCCCGGGTGCAGATTCACTTGTTTAGACAAAGCATGGCAGCAAGATGCAGCAAGGACGCTACTAGGGGCTCCTGGCCTCGCTACTAGGAGCAAGGACTACGAACGGGGCAAAACTATTCTGTCAGGACTCGATTTCCCAAGCCAGTGATGCCAACGTAAAGAAAGCGTTGGAGCAGAGTGCCTGGATCCCTAGCCACTTTGCAGGACTCGCTCCCTTGATTTGCCCGAGCCAAGGTAGCTTCAAACAATCAAGCCCTTGAAGAAACTCAAGGCATTTATAGCAACATTGCCAGGAACCTACAGATGCCCGGCTCAGACCATTCCTTCTGCACACTCATGAACAGGTCTCGTTTTCCAACGACATGCTCTCCATGTTGAAGAAGACCTCCAAATCAGGCTCTCTTGCCTTCCAATTCAAACCGGTACTGCCCTTACCACGTTGCATGTCTAGGCCTTACCTGCGACCAGCTCTCCTGTGGAAAGCATGCGTCCTGCGCAGATACTTTTCAAGGCACCCACCTTAGGACCGAGGATGGCGCTGACAGTAGTGAGAGTTCCGTGGCTTCTGAGGTGCGAGCTGCGTTTGTGACGAAGGCTATATTGGTTTGGGGCAGGACAGAAGGCCTATTTAATTTCTTTTTTGAGAGTGGGGGAGGTTAGGCCGCTAGGAGGTGGTAGCTAGGGAGTCGCTAGTAGGGAGAGGGCGCTAGTAGCTACAAGTGAACGCTAGTAGTAACTGGACTCGGACGTAATAGCTCACGCTTCTAAGATTTTTTTTTTTTTTACTTAATTTTCTATCAAGCACTTGCGGACATGCCCTTCGGATGGCTTTATTGTGGCTGCCAGGAGTGCCATGCACCGACTGAATTTCAGCCACACTTGCTTCTGGGTGAAAATGCAGCCCAGGCTGCTGACATTCATGTGCTTCGCCCCAGTGTGACAGGCAGATAAACGAACATCAAGTCTCACTGAACAGAAAGAACTGTATGAGTAGCAGAACTTTGAAATGGGTGGGTCCTGGCTGGGTTCAAGATTCATGTGCAAAGGTTGCAGCTTTCGACGACAACAAGGTGGCTGTGGTATTTCGCGACATGAGCAAGGACAGCGGGCTCGCGTTCAGCAATGCATTTTTGAACCTGTGAGCACAGAATACTCAAGATGTTGTGAAACTGAACCTCCCAAACTTAAATCAGTGTTCTTCACTATCTGACTCCGAACGAACAAGAGAAGATAAAGGCAACCTGCTGCTTCGCAGCACGTATCGCCATTTTTCTGAAATCTAATGCCACATTACAGCAAAGACACGTGACAACGTTGTTTTGCTTCACCAGCCACAGAAAGTGCTTTATTTATTTAGAGTTGGGGGCCTAATGGCTTCAAGGCTGGCGCGGTGTGTGCTGACTTTTCCAGGACAATGCCGGCGCAGTTGTCGTTGGAACTGTGAGCGAGGCGGGACTCAACTGATTTTCCTGGGACTGTCCAGGAACTGGTGGCTTCAGACCCCACTCTGAGTGGAGATGGATGGAGATGGTTTGCTTGAAGACCGATCCGCTCAACTAGTATTTTTTTTATTGATTGGTACCTGCCAGGCTGGGTCACTGGAGCTTTCGCCCGTGGAGCTCTTCACAGCTCCTGGAGCTCAGGCGAGGAAACTATGATATAGGATGATATAGGTCAAAAAATGTCAACCCAGTACTGTACCACTTTTTCTTTATGATTTGAGTAATCAATTACATATTACGGAATAGTCTACCAATTGCCATCTGACTGGTTTTAATGTTTGCATCGCTATCTCAAACAACAGCTAATGCAGTGGCTATGGTGATGAACGCGAAGATGAAGAAAACACATATTCTGTAGCCCCTAGTAGCTTCTTGCTCCTAGTAGTAAGGCCAGGAGCGCCCCTAGTAGCGTCCTTGCTCCTAGTAACGTTGCCCTTTGTTCCTAATATGCCCTCTTTGCTACTAGGATGAGACTTGGTCCTTTGAGTTGATCAGGCCTTTTCACCAGTAGTGACTGGAACAGATGGGCGGCGGCGCATTGCGATTGCTTGGCGCGATGGGCAGAGGAGTGGAACCTGCAGGCAGAGTCGTCGGGCCGAGAAGCAGGAACAAAGCAGACAAAGCGGGACCAAGCTTTTGGCCTCTGGTGAAGGGCTGGCCGTTGTAGTTCATAATTAGAGCGCCAGTGCCGAGTTTGCGTTGCGCTACGTAGCCCATCAGGAAAGGCCCCAGCCGGCTACAGAGACATCTAGCTGCGCCTGGATGATCGACATTGATCCACATCTGACCCCCCTTGAGAATCCAGGAGAACCCAACCCACCGTGCCCCGAACATACCCAAACATTGTCCAAACACTTCAAACCCTAAGCAAACAAACCTTGATCCCGTCTTTCAACAGTCGTAGCTTGATGGTGCTGGGGTTTATTATGGTTTAGTGTCAAGATGTGTCAAGCATTTCTTGGGCCTGCTTGTCGCCCAAATTTGCCGAAGTTGCGACCATGCAATCCTTACAAAGATATTTTGACAAACTTGATACTGACCCACTGTTCAATTCCAACAGGTCCTTTGTCTTGCCTGCACAACCACCTCTGTATTCCC